ATATTACGTGTTATTATACAAATTGTGAGATATGTATGTTAAAAAGTTAATAACTTAAGACATAAAAAATTTCCACCGCTAATATAAAAACACGTAGTATACCCTTCGTGTTCCTATCACAATTAAAAATTTTTCGTACAAATTAATAGTTATTAGTTCAGTTGCTAAACTGGAGAAAAACTTGTGTGGGGCTTAGCTTGCCACTAAACTTCGTTGAGTGACACTACAATCCACTCAAAACTCGCCATGTGGCAAGTCTTAAATATAATCTTTTATCATTCTTTTATATTTAAAATTTTTATAATTATTTTTAACTAATTAATATATTATATGTATTAATGTTATGTTTCCTTTTTCATTTCTTTCCCCCTTTTTTTTCTTCACAACCACCCCCCCAAACCCCAAAAAAAAATACACTTTGTTTTGCCGTAGGGCTTGGGTTTCAGTACTCCCTCCCCATTCTTTCTTTCCTAGTTTCGTTTATTTCTTTCTTCAAAAAAAACAAAAAAAACAAAAAAAACTTATGCATCCACTCCAAGTTTATCATGGAAAGCAACTAAGAATCTGTAAGTTTCTTTTCTTTCTTTATACAATAGTTGCTTTGATCATGTGACAAATACAACAAATACAACGCAAATCAAATTGTACTTGTTAGTTCGAAATGTAGTATCAAAGCATAAAGCATCTCCAAAGCAATCATGGTCTAACTTTGACCTGTCATCTCTCCAAAAAAAAATTTGTCATCCGATTTAGGTGGACCACTTGTATCAAATAGAAAAATTTGGAATCCTTTGCTTGCCTTTCCTTGAAATGATTAAACAAACTTTGTGCATCTCCTCCTTCTATCGTGGGTCATCTGGGTTATTCATGTCACATGATCAAAGCAACTATTGTATAAAGAAGGAAAAGAAACTTACAGATTCTTGGTTGCTTTCCATGAAAAAATTGGAGTGGGTGCATAACTTTTTTTTTTTTGTTAAAGAAAGAAAGAAACGAAAAATAAGGGGAAATAAATAAAAAAGGAAACATAACATTAATATATATAATATATTAATTAGTTAAAAAATAATTATAAAAATTTTAAATATAAAATAATGATAACAGATTATATTTAAAATTTGCCACGTGGCGAATTTTGAGTGGATTGTAGTGCCACTCAGCGAAGTTCAATGGCAAGCCAAGCCCCACACAAGTTTATCTTGCTAAACTGATATCTCTTCTTTATTAAAAAACTGACTGTTGATATATATTTACCGTTACATTGCTAGTTTTTAGATTAAAACATGTTATCTGACTTATGATATTTTTTGCTTGCTATTACCAGAAACTGGAACTATCAGAGGAAGTATGACTGGAATAGACACTGAAACAGAAAAAATATGGAGGAGATTCCAAGCAGTTGGTGACATAGCCTTTGCCTACTCATACTCTCTTGTCCTCATTGAAATTCAGGACACATTAAAATCCCCTCCATCCGAAGCCAAGAAAATGAAGAAGGCAACTCTAGTGTGTCTACCACAACTCTTTTCTACATGTTGTTTGGTTGCATGGGCTACGCTGCTTTCGGAGACTCATCCCCTAGAAACCTCCTCACTGGTTTTGGCTTCTTCAACCCCTACTGGCTCATCGACATAGCCAGCGCCACCATTGTCATCCGCCTTTTTGGCGCTTACCAAGTCTTTCTGCAGGCCCTCTATGCATTTGTTGAGAAAACAGCAAAACAAAAGTGCCCACATAGCCAGTTCATCACCAAAGACACCAAATTCCGAATCCCCGTTTTGGGTTCTTACAATCTCAACCTCTTCAGATTGGTTTGGAGGACATCTTTTGTGATTGTCACCACTGTGATCTCATGATCCTGCCATTTTTCAATGATGTCGTTGGACTTCTAGGGGTTTTGGGATTTTGGCCGCTCACAGTTTACTTCCCTGTGGAGATGTACATTGCTCAAAAGAGGATACCAAAGTGGAGCACAAGATGGCTTTGCCTCCAAATCTTGAGTGCTGCTTGCCTTATAATCACCATAGCAGTTGTTGCTGGATCATTTGCTGCTGTGATTAGTGATCTTAATTAAGATCTACAAGCCATTCAAGACCGGCTACTGATGAGTTTAGCATATATGTTGTAGCACTATCTATATATATACACTAGAAAGTAGGGATTAGAAAATGCATGAAAGATTATGTTTAAAATATAAAAAAGGTTGTGTTGTAGTAAATTGTTTCAATTTAGGTACAATGAATTGAAATTTTGAACAATCATACCCAATGTTGTGAATAAAGTTTTGTGTGGAATAACACTGATTTTATATCTGCATTGCGGTTCCTGCTAGAATAAGAACAAATTTACAAAATGATTTGCTTATTTTGGCAAGAAATTAACAAATCAGGTATAATTTATAAGAGTAAATGTAAGTACGGATAAAACACTTTAAATAACTATAAGTTATACAGAAAAGCTTTTCAATCCAACGTCATCCAAAACTATGAAATAACAGAATATATACCAAGATTAAAAAAAAAAAAAATTCACAGATTCAACTTTCACAACATATAAAACATAATTTTCACAATATTCAAATAATAAATAAAATTGTTGGTGAAAAGGCTGAAAGGAAAAATCCAAAATTATTTACCTTGAGCATAAAAGGCTTCAAAAGAGGATAAACAGTGGGTTGGGGGGGAGGTGGGGGGCCTGGAAAATAAGAAAATGGGATTTGTTTTCTTTTGCTCTGTGCATTTGTGTACGGAAAATAAAACTTCGTGGAGGAGGAACGACTGCGGATCCGAAATTTTGGTGGGAAATTGCATGGCTTGAGAGCTAATAGCGGTTCTTCATCGTCTTTCTAATATTTGCTGCCCCATCTTTCATAATATTTGCACGGTCAACACTCAACACAAAAAACTGCTAAGTTTTGGACGTTAAATAAAGTTTAGTTTGAAGCAATTGATTCTCTAAAAAATCAGACCAGATTAAATACTTCTAAACAATTTTAATTTAGCTCTTAGTCTAGTGGAACAATAATGTTTGAAAATCAAAGAAAATATAAACGATCAGATATCAGTTAGACCACTTATCTTGCATACAAATTTATCTAGTAACGGTGCTCGCGGGTTTCTGCGGGATTGAAAATTATATTTAAGATTATGCAAATTCATTCCATCCCTGACGTCACTTTCAGGCCATTTGCCTTCTACCTCTGTGGCTCTTTCCATCCATGGCGTCATATAGGCCGGTCCCAAGGTCTATTAATTTTGGGTTGGCCTGGAGACCAGCTTGGGCTGGGTGCCAGGCAATTCCGTGGGCTGGAGTGACTTCCCTTGGTGTCAGACCATTTTTTTGGCTGTGTGCCAGCCTATCCCACCTCTGATGGAAGTGCTCTTAGCAAGATCAATGCTCGTGGTAAAGCTGTCAAGAGAGAATAAAGTTTCGAATTTGTAAATCTTAAACGTGAATTGTGGAGAGAATTTTCAGTGTATCTAGAATACGAGATGGTACACTACGTATCATTATACAAAAAGTGGGATATGTGTGTTAAAAAGTTAATAACTTGAACAATAAAATTTCCCATCATTTATATAAAAATACGTGGTATACCACCCGTATTCTGATCACAATGAAAATTTCTTTGAATTGTGGAGCAACGTATTAGGGGTTAGACCCGTATTAAGTTGGAGACCAATTAAGGCTGATGGAGGCAATCAAGAAACGGAAGATTGTACGGGCATAGATTGAAATTTAATTCAATAGTATAAGTAGGACCCTCTATGTCATTTGTTAGGTCCTACACCAACCACACTTTTGCATTATATCACTCTAACTTTCCATTCTGCACTAGGTGGAATTTACCTTTTAACTACTTTGTTACATAGCACTTCAATTCAATAATTTATTCATTTTAGTATTTTAATCTCGACCCTATCAAATTCTCACCCATCACAAGAATATTCGATTCACCCCTCGCATCATAAGACCTATCGTTGAAGATCAATAACGCCTTTCGAAAATGAGGGCAGTGAGAAAGTGGTCGTGGGTCACACAGTAACTAAAATGTCGAAAGGTTGAGAGAGATTTTGAAAATCCTTTTTGAGTCAAGTTGGATTTTTGGATTGGGGTTTGTGACATGGACAAAACTTGCCTTGGTCGTTGATGTATGCGCATGAGCACTTACGGACTACGACGCCGTTCCTTCCTTGGTCACAGTCGTTTTGAAAGAGGTTAGACAAGGGCTCACAGGCCGAGAGGTGGCATGCCCGCAACACAGACATTAGAAAGACCAAGAGATCCTGAAATCCACACCTTGTTGGCTGAGACCGATTTTGAGATCTTTATGTTCTTGATCACTGAAATTTAAAATCGATAGAAGTGGTCCAAGAGATTGTCCATCGATTGAAAAAACCATTAGTTCAAGGAGAGAAGTTTATTTGACAAAAATACCCTCAATTTAATAGAGATTTCTCAAAGAATGATCAAAATGATTGACAATGTATAATGTCAAGGTCCACTATTATCGATTTTAAATCTTAAAGACTAAAATAAAGAACTATGTCAATCTTACATATATTTTGAATAAAAAGCCGAAAGAAAAAAACGCTTTGTTGTCGAAAATGAGGGCAGTGAGAAAGTGGCCGTCGGTCACACAGTAACTAAAATGTCGAAAGGCTGAGAGAGATTTTGACAATCCTTTTTGAGTCAAGTGGGATTAGGGTGACATGGACAAAACTTGTTTTGGCCGTTGACGTGCGCGTGTCCATGACTTTCCTGCCTCAAAACTGTATATAAACCACACTTCCGCATTCTTTCTTCACTACACCAAAAAATTCCACCTTCTTCTGGGTTTTCAGCTCTCTTATAATTTCTCAGTCTTTTAAATACATCCCATCTTTTTATTTGCAGAAAGATCATCTTTCCCTTCTCTGTTTTATCATAGATATAGATATATATATATTTGTATATTTATACTGCAAAAGTCTTGGGTTTTTATGAACTTTATGAGCAAAATGGGTGATAACCAGATTAATCCCCGCCAAGGCTTTGAACTCTCAGTCCCTATGCCTCCAGAAGCAGGCTCCAAGTGCTATGACAACGACGGCCGTCTCAAAAGAACTGGTAAACTCCACTTCTCTAACACATTATTCATGTTCTGTTCGGTTTACGAAACTGAAGTGGGTTAGGCCGGTTGAAGAGAGCAATTTATATCTATCTGCTTGCAATCGAGTTTCGTTGTTACTAATCTTTTGTTTATTTACCAGGAACTGTTTGGACTGCAAGTGCTCGTATTATTACTGCTGTAATTGGGTCCGGAGTTTTGTCCTTGGCTTGGGCAACAGCTCAGCTTGGATGGGTGGCTGGTCCTGCTGTGATGCTCATGTTCTCCTTTGTCACTTACTACACTTCAACTCTTCTCTCTGCCTGCTATCGTTCCGGCGATCCTGTCACCGGAAAGAGAAACTATACTTACACCGATGCCGTCCGATCCAACCTTGGTAAGATTTTATAACCTTTTTTAAGTACTTTTTGCCCATGTGAAAGAGTTGGTCTCTTGCTAAAAATTCTAAAGCTCAAATTTTTATTCTTTTAATCTCAAATTTTCAGGTGGGTTCAAGGTGAAAGTTTGTGGGCTTGTTCAGTACTTGAATCTCTTATTTGGAGTTGCCATTAGCTACACTATAGCGTCATCCAAAAGCATGGTGTAAGTTATCTAAATCTATGATTAATTAAAAACTTGGTGATTTGTTAAAAAAAAAAAAAAAAAAAAACTTGGTGATTTTAGTTTTATAAGACCATCTCTAACCCTTGGCCTAAAACCTAAAATTTTTAGCCCAGAAAATTTAGGGTCTATTTGAAAATTTTTATTATTTCTCAAAACATTTCTTAAGAACATTTGTTGAAAACAATTTTCTTTAAGACTCAAAAACTTGATTAGTTTGTGATTTAAAATTTTTAAATCATACGACTTAAACTTAACAAAGAAATTTAAAAAGTGGGGTCGCAGGAGAGGGAGAAAGAGGAGAGAGGAGGAAAGAAAGTAAGAGATGATTGAAGGAAAGAGAAAAAAAAAAGAGGATCAGAGAAGATAGAGAGGAAGATGAGTGAGAGAAATAACTGAGAGAATGAAGAGAGCGGATTGAAGGAGAGACGATAAAGGTTAAAAAAGAGAGAGAGAGAGAGAGAAAGAAAAAAGAAAAGAGAGAGATAGATTTGGAGTGAGAGATGAGGAGGGAGAGAAAAGAAAGGAGTGAGTTTAAGTTTAAAAACTCTAAAAACTCATTTTTTATGTTTTTAGATAATAGACTATATTTTTGAGTTAATCTTGAGTTCAATTTTTAAGAATAGTCCTACCAAAATAGTTTTTAAGGCCTAAAATTTGAAAATTGTTTTTGAGTTTAAAAAGTTGGATTCAAGCAGAGTACCAAACATGCCCTTAGGTTTTAACTCAAAAACAGTTTTTCTACTCCAACCCTTATAGCCTAAAATTTTAGTCCCAGATTATTAAATAATGAATTTAGGCTAATTTTTTTTCTTGAAGCAACTTTTTTAAAAGAAAAAATTATGTAGACTAGCTTAATTTAATTTTATGAACATTTTAACCTAAAAATATTTAGATTATAACAAATACTAAAAAATGCTCTTAACCTGAGCAAAAGATAGAAAGGCTTCTTACTAAAAATGGAGTTTAGCTAATATGCTAGAAATGTCGTGAGGTGAAATAAAAGATGGATCGGTTTTTTACTCGAAAATGAATTAACTAGTCTGCTAGAAATGCTCTTGATCGATCATCCATAAGAGAGGAAAATGGAAGATGCAGAGGGTCTTTTGAAAGATTAAAAAGGTCCCCAAACAAAGAAACAACTAGTTAGAGAGACGGCTACCTCTAGCCAAAATGCTTTTTCTCCACTTTATGCAACCAGTAGACCCATTAACCGGCACTAAGAAAAAATATGAAACACATAAAAAAAAATTAATTACTTTAGCCGTTAAATTTAAATTTGACAATTAAATTTTTGTTTTTACCGTTGAATTTCGTAAAATTAGATCTTAACCGTTGCATTCAATAAATTTATAAATATAAAACTAAATAAAAAAATACATATATAGTGGGTCAACCTCGCTAATCATGGGCTAAGTCTGGCTTTGTTTGAGGTAATAGGTTTTAGGTCCAATTTTAAGCTTGGGTTGGGTTGGATTTGGAGGGAATAGAAGGGTAAAAGTAGGTTATATGTTAGGGTTGGAGATGGTCTAACGTTAAATAAGGTTTTTTTTTTTTTTTTTTTTTTTCTTAATCATTAAATGACGTTTCTTTTGGCTAATTGTACTTTTTTATGATTAATTAAACAGAGCAATTAAGAGGTCTAATTGCTTCTACAAGAATGGTGACAAAGCACCTTGCCATGTAAACAGCAATCCATACACGATCGCTTTTGGCGTAGCAGAAATCATATTCTCTCAAATTCCAGACTTTGATCAGTTGTGGTGGCTCTCCATTGTTGCTGCAGTCATGTCCTTCACTTATTCCTCAATCGGACTTGGGCTCGGAATCGCCACAATCGTAGGTACAAATTGAGAGATTTTTCAATATGATCGGTAGACGAGGTGGTACATCACGTGTTATTATACAAATTATGAGATATGTATGTTAAAAAGTTAATAACTTAAAACATAAAAAATTTCAACCACTAATATAAAAACACGTTGTATATCTTCCGTGTTCCGATCACAACTAAAAATTTCTCGTACAAATTAACAGTTAATAGTTCAGCTGCTAAACTGATATCTCTTCTTTATTAAAAAACTGACTGTTGATATATATTTACCGTTACATTGCTAGTTTTTAGATTAAAACATGTTAGCTGACTTATGATATTTTTTGCTTGCTATTACCAGAAACTGGAACTATCAGAGGAAGTATGACTGGAATAGACACTGAAACAGTGACTGAAACGGAAAAAATATGGAGGAGATTCCAAGCAGTTGGTGACATAGCCTCTGCCTACTCATACTCTCTTGTCCTCATTGAAATTCAGGACACATTAAAATCCCCTCCATCTGAAGCCAAGATAATGAAGAAGGCAACTCTAGTCAGTGTGTCTACCACAACCCTATTCTACATGTTGTGTGGTTGCATGGGCTACGCTGCTTTCGGAGACTCATCCCCCAGAAACCTCCTCACTGGTTTTGGCTTCTTCAACCCCTACTGGCTCATCGACATAGCCAACGCCGCCATTGTCATCCACCTTATTGGCGCTTACCAAGTCTCTGTGCAGCCCCTCTATGCATTTGTTGAGAAAACAGCAAAAGAAAAGTACCCACATAGCCAGTTCATCACCAAAGACATCAAATTCCGAATCCCTGTTTTCGGTTCTTACAATCTCAACCTCTTCAGATTGGTTTGGAGGACATCTTTTGTGATTGTCACCACTGTGATCTCCATGATCCTGCCATTTTTCAATGATGTCGTTGGACTTCTAGGGGCTTTGGGATTTTGGCCGCTCACAGTTTACTTCCCTGTGGAGATGTACATTGCTCAAAAGAGGATACCAAAGTGGAGCACAAGATGGCTTTGCCTCCAAATCTTGAATGCTGCTTGCTTTATAATCACCATAGCAGTTGTTGCTGGATCAATTGCTGCCGTGATTAGTGATCTTAAGATCTACAAGCCATTCAAGACCAGCTACTGATGAGTTTAGCATATATGTTGTAGCACTATATATACACACGCGCGCGCACACTAGAAAGTTGGGATTAGAAAATGCATGAAAGATTATGTTTAAAATAAAAAAAAAAGGTTGTGTTGTAGTAAATTGTTTCAATTTAGGTACAGTCATACCCAATGTTGTGAATAAAGGTTTTGTCTGGAATAACACTGATTTTATAGCATTGCGGTTCCTGCTAGAATAAGAATAAATTTACAAAATGATATGCTTATTTTGGTAAGAAATTAACAAATCAGCTATAATTTATGAGAGTACATGTAAGAACAGGTTAAACACTTTAAATAACTATAAGTTTTACAAAAAAACTTTTCAATCCAACATCATCCAAAACTATGAAATAACAGAATATATACCAAGATTAAAAAAATAAAATAAAAAATCACAGATTCAACTTTCAAAACATCTAAAACACAACTTTCACAATATTCAAATAATAAATAAAATTGTTGGTGAAAAGACTGAAAGGAAAAATCCAAAATTATTTACCGTGAGTATAAAGGGCTTCAAAAGAGGAGAGACAGTGAGAAGGGTTGGGGGTGGTGGGTGGGCTAGAAAATAAGAAAGTGAGATTTGTTTTCTTCTTCTCTGTGCATACGGTCAACACTCAACACAAAAAACTGCTAAGTTTTGGATGTTAAATAAAGTTTAGTTTGAAGCAATTGATTCTCTAAAAAATCAGACCAGATTAAATACTTCTAAACAATTTTAATTTAGCTCTTAGTCTAGTGGAACAATAATGTTTGAAAATCAAAGAAAATATAAACGATCAGATATCAGTTAGACCACTTTATCTTGCATACAGATTTATTTAGTAACGGTGCCCGCAGGTTTTTGCGGAATTGAATATTATATTTAAGATTATGCAAATTCATTCACTTCATAAGCAATGTTTGAGTCAAGAAATGAGCATTACAAATGCGGAAGGAAAAAAAAAAAGAATGAAAATTCAACTTGACAAAGAGACCTCAATAGTCTGGCTCAATTCATCATTCAAGACTTGGTCCAACTGTAATTTGCTCACTCTATTCCTAAGCAAAAGAAAACCAAACCAAGTTCAACAAGAATTATGCACAATCTTTGTGAAACTATATAATGAATAATACAACATTGTTAAACAAACATGGGCTGGAGCATCTCCAGTTCTTGGCAGATCAAATTTCAATAAATAGCCACACATGTGAAATTAAAAAAAAGAAACAGATCTCAGAGATTAATAGTTTACCATCAGCGAAGATCTCCGTGAGCAAGGTCGGCCTAGACGCAGTAAATCACGTAACGCCTTCAAAATATCCATAGAAAGCACAACACCAGCAACAACCTCAATGCAATTCAAATCCATAGTGCTTATGATAAAGAACGAAGAAAAAGTTATTTATTACAACCCCGCAAATTATATACCTTCAGCAAAACCCCAAAATTCGAACTCCAGCATTTCCTGAAAGCAGAAAAGAATGAAATCAGATAGCCACACGCAGCATCCTAGCACACAAACAAAACCCCCAAAATTATAAAAAGAAAATTTAAACACCAAATCCATCTGTAAATAAAAAAAAAAAAAAAATCAGGCACATTGAGAAATAAAATTCAGCAACAAATTCCCTAAAAGCAGGAAAAAATGTGAGTAGTGTACCAGGTTGATGTCCGACTTTTAGGGTTGGTTTGGTATTTCTGTGCTTTGAAAAAAAAACTGCTTCTGCTGTGCTGTGAGAATAAGCAGCTGTGAAATAAAGCAGCAGAGTGTTTGGTAAATTTTTTTGTAAAAGTGTTTAGGAAAAAAAAAAGCATTATTATAGTGTTTGGTAAACTTTTATGTAAAACAGATGTGAAAAAAAGCTGGTTTGTCAAAACTGGGTTTTGCAGCTTTTTGTTTTTGGCTTTTTTTTCACCCAAAACTGTGAAAAAAAGCTGAAGCTAAATGTTTACCAAACACAAAAACAGCTCCCAGCTTGTTTTGATACCAGCTTTTTTCAGAATCACCTCAGTACCAAACCAGGCCTTAATCACATTCAGTGAATGACCAAAAAAAAAAGTAACCTAATTTCTTCATTTCAAAAAGTGGAAAGAATTAAAAAAAAAAAAAAGAAAAAAAAAAGGGTTTTAAGTTTTTAGTACTTACTCACCATATATATTGTAAAATATTCATTAAAAATCTTAAAAAAGAAAAAAAAAAAAAACGTACAATCAGATCATGTCATCCCGGGGAACGAAACAGTAATTATAAAAAATCGTTGACGCATGCTAAGCTGGATTTTCTAAAAACATAATCATTAAGTGAGTTGAGAATGAATCAAAGGTTGGCAAAATTACGTACTGGATCTGTAGCAACATTCCCTTCTGTTATAAACACATATGCAGACGAAAGTAATTTTCTCCTCAACAAATAGTCATGAATATAAACATCAAGCCTGAAGCAGACAACAAAATCGACAATAGGGCAAAAGAATAAATATCAAACGGATTTGATCATCTAATTAAACCATCGTGATAACATATCGACACACACATGAAAATTTGACTATCTAATTAAGTAATTTACAAAAATGCAAACGGATTTGAAAAAGTAGAAATCCCATCTCACATGTATTAAAACGATTAACAATTCTTAGTGAATCATCACAAAATAGGTATAAAAAACTAACCATGTTTCTTAATTTAAAAAATGGGAAACTTAGAGAAAGAGTACTGAGTTCTCAGTTCTTACAACAACGAAAATAACCATATCTTTTCATTTTGAACTGGGGTTGATTTCTGTCATCAGCATTAACAAAACCTGTAATTTCAGCATGTACTAATTAAATTCAAGCTGACCAACTTCCAATTCAACCAAACGAAAAAAGCAATTACAATCAAACTAACCTGTCTTTGCCATACGAAGTAAACCACGTCCACGTCTCATGTTTCGTATTCGTCAACAACACATTGTCCATTCTGTACGCACACAAAAAACACTCAATATTCTTACCAACATTATACAAACTATATAGGCGGTATCATATATGTATTTGCACATAAAGTATAAATACTTTTTGATAGAATCAAACTTAAATTTAATAAAAGGATTAATCACAAATTGAAATTAATTGTGGTGTTTGAGAAAGACCAGGCTAGCCATGGAGTCAATATTCAATGAAAGCAAAATCAATATCAGATGATCGGGTTTAATTACCATGTCTGATCTAAAATTAGCTAAATATTAAGTAATGCTTATTGCTACAACAAAAGCTATATTCCAAAAAAGGCAAAAGAAAATCGACACCAAGCATGTCTATAAATTTAGTTCCAATCAACTCACCTTGTTCCCCACCATTCCCTTCAGTTTGCTCCGGCGGAGCGGTTTCTGTACTACTTCCGGAAACCAAATTCTCCAAGCCACTCCCTCCTTCCCCAGCTCTCTGCTGCAGTAATTTCTGTATATCCAACAGTCTTCTGTTCACTTCATCCAATTTATCTCAGTTTTGCCACATCATTTCATCTCTATTATATTAAATAAGAAATAGAATTATAAATGTATTAGGAGATAAATAATATAACTATTTATATCAAACTTGATTGGGAATAGAACTCTGAGGGAGTGGTTTAAGCCACTCGTATTATGGGATGACAGTTTTACTTAATAGGAGGAAACTGTCAACAGTTGGATATATATGGATTTGGTCTCTCCTCGCACAATCATGTTCAAGTTCGTGGGCGTGGTTAAAGGCGTAATGGGTATCCTCAGTAGTTTCCGGGTGTTTCTCGAAAGTGGCGGCGTGTGGCTCCGGGGATCTGTACTGGTAGAGGTTGATGGATTTGAGCCTCTGCAGCATAGAAGGAGATCCGGCGAGGCATCCGCCTTGGTGGTGGTTCTGGTGGTGGTACTGCTCTGGGTCCTGGTGTTTCTGGGTGGAACCAAGTTTGAAGCAATGGCGATGGTGCCAATCATGACATTGAGGAGGAGGAAGAGAACAGTGGGAGTGAACCAGCTGTTCATGGAAGCCCAAATTCAAGGCAGGGATGTCACGGATTCTTCAAACATGGCTGACAGTGTTAAAGAGAGAGAGTGGAAGGTGTAAAAATTGGGAGATGAAGAAGAAGGGCAGATTAGAAAGCTTCTGTGTGGTGTGCGCTTCTCTGCCTCCTTTATTTGGGTGGAGATTTTCATCACCTTGTGTAGGGTTCTTGGTGTTTTGTGTGGAAATTTACTTGTTGATTTATTTATTATTATTATTTTTATTGTTATGATCTGGAGGGAACGTGAGGGTGAGTGATGGGTATGCGTGTGAGAAACGGACAGAAAAGAAGTGGTTGTGACAAAATGTAAGGTTGTGGGTGGATTAAATAGAGGCTAATCGACTTAGGACTTGTAGCGTTTGTTATTTTACGTTAGCGTTCAAGATTCTAAGTTCGATCTATCTCTTTTCAATGTCGTTTACATTTTTTTAACAAAAAAATTATGTTTGTGTAGAAAATAAAGAATATGCGGGATCAACGGGCTTTGCGGTGGAGTTGGCAAGAGTGATCACTTTTTGCACCTGATGTTCCGAGTTTGATACGGCAACAGCAACCATCTATGGCATTTGCTTGTGCACTTGAAACGACTGCGTTTACGAAGGTCTTATTACCTTTATTAGTCAAGGGTTCTCTCCAATCTTTACAGATAGTGGCGTACAGTTAAAGTGGAGTTTTCCTTATACCAAATCTATGTAGAAAGAAAGAACAGTTGGGTATAGGATATTCTTCTTCTATGTACTAGTTTGCATGTCTAAAATGTACTAAATTAGTAAACTTGATGTAACATAAAGTGAATCAAATGAACGTTGGATTCTTTATTTCTTTTGCGATTACTGATACACACGAAGGTTGAGATAAATCAACATTTGGGTTTCATTTTACAATCCGTAATTGAATGCTCGAAAATTTGAGAATTAGCTAGATTGGTTAAGTGTAGTGTCTTTTGTACAACTTCTTTTCCTTTCAACTTTCATGACTCGTTATCACCTCTTACTTTCAAGTAAACATGTTCATCGTTCACAACTCTTATCAGTGATTAGGGTAGTTTCAATGGGTCACATTGAAGATAGTGGAAGCGTTTGAAGTGCAAAGTTACATTTTTAATCATTTTTGCCGGAAATAGGGGCAACATGGGCAATGGGCATGGCCGGCGTTGTCTAGTAAATTTTGACACACAGCATGGTAACCTGCTAACATGGCCCTCCCCCTCCGCCTTTTCTTTTGTTTACTCCAAATAGTCGGTAGCAGTCTTGCAGGCAAACACAATACAAATGGGCTCATTTCTCATTGGACTGGCCCAACTTGCTAGAAATCCGCTGGACCCGGTTCTTGTCGATCTTGTCTAATTATCAAAGAGATGGGTCAAAGGTTTACTTCCAAACACCAATATTATTCTCAACTTGTTAATTATCACTTAAACAATTCGACATGTGTGGGGTTTTATCACAAAATGTTTCGGTATTAGTTGTAGTTGGGTTATGATATTTAAACTTTTCTTTCTCAAATATACAGTTGATATGAAATATTTCAACACGGATCCATACTACCAAGGGGACTCACCCTATAAGTGGGGCCAAGAGACCCACTCCATGAGTCTGATACCATGTTGAATTATTAGAAATACGAGCCAAATGCCCACTTCCAATAGCATCAATATTGTCCCCAACTTGTTAATTATCACCTGCACATGTCGACAGATGTGAGGTTTTATCACAAAAGGTCTTGGTATTAGTTGAAGTTGGGTTAAGATATTTAAACTATTCTTTTGTCAAAGATACGGTAGAGCAGAATATTTCAACACAACTCAACTACAAAATTTCGTGCACATCATTTTTTACGGATGAACAGTTGAGATTTAACTAAGTTTAACTAAAATCTTCATTAAATCTTAACCTCTCTCGTTCCTTGTTTTCTTTTTTTTGAGTCATAACTTCTCCCACTTCTTATATAAGTAAACATGAGCGCAGTTGATTGATTAAGCAAGTAAACAGTCAATGAACAAGTGTCGTCACCGTGTCAAATAATGTCGACACATCTCGTTCACGATTACTTCATCTCTCTCACTGCTTTGTTCAACTGCTCTCTATCGTCCTCACCAAGGTTTTGTATAATATACATACATACATACATATGCGTCTATATGGAAGATTACTCGTCCTGATAGAAACAGAATGGATCAACTCATGCATTCTGTCTCATTCCTTCCTGCAACTTATGCCAGTTGCTTTGCCACGACGATCTCGGATTCGTGGATTCTCGGGTTTGTTAAGGTAATCGTATTACAAACTTCCACACTTCGTTTCCGAATAGACGAAATGTTTACTCAAACTGTTTTGGTTTTGGGTGCAGTGAAAATCTGTTCATTTCTTCCATATCCGAAAATGAATCAATGATGGCAACATTCGGTGGATTCCATCTAACTGAGTGCGGAGATTCGAACTTGGGACATGATTATTTAATTGGCATATCAAGTTTTGTTTATAAGCATTTGTAGCCCTATGATGGCTTGCACTTCAATAAAATACCACCTCACCCTCATTTATAAGAGATTTTTTAGTGTAACCAGAATACGAGATGATACACCACGTGTCACTATACAAATAGTGGGCTATGTGTGTTAAAAAAGTTAATAACTTAAAAAATACAATTTTCCACCATTTATATAAAAACACGTGGTGTTCCGGTCACAAGAAAAAATTTCTCCTTACCTATATAGACAAGGATAATGTGAAGGAGACCAAATTTTTTAAACCAAATAATGTGTCACCAATAAGAAGCAAACACATTAATCGACACTTAATTAATAATCCAATCATCTACAACCAGATCATTTGAGCACAGACAAATTCGAACCCAAACAGATCCGAACAAATTTGGCCCTTCCCAACTAAGCCAAACTGAGAAGGGTCGCTTGGATGAGCCATACCGGGCACCCTTTGGTCGTGCTCAGTAGATTACACGAAGCTCACATACTATCACACAAAGAAGCATCTCCAGTGAGAGTACCGAACGACATATCATACGGGTGCTCTTCATTAGGTGACAAATTTTTTATCTCTTGCAAGTTTCTTTGGTATATATGTTTTCTTTCTAACCACACCAAATAATGTGGAAGACCCCAAGTGCGACCATTTGAACCATTTGTGGGCATCAATTCCATTGATATTCTAAAAGATAGTAGAACATATTTGAGTCAAGGAAAAAGAAAACAGGAAAAAGAGGAGGTAGAGAGCAGCTGCAACAACAACATCCCCTGCAGAGTCCCAAACCAGGTATCCAAATCAAGAACTACTTCCACATTTATTGGAATTAATGTTGTGTTTTGTGCTACGGCCAAGGACGTCCTAGATATTAGGAAGAAGTGAAGAAAGACAGGGTTGATCATACGGTTCTTGGTCATGTTTGAATACTCTATTGGAATGTTTGAAATTTGAGGTGTTGAGAGAGACAAAGAAACTTACTGATAAAATGATGGACGGTAGGATTTTGAATACAACAACAATCAGTTTGAACATAAAAAATAAAAAAAAGTAATTAAACCAGAAGGAAGTTTTCCTGTTACCGCTGATGAGGAGGGAATTCGATGAAGTTTCATCGTCATTCCTAAGAAACAAGCTTGTAAGAGAATTGACTAAATGGATTATTATAGTAATGATATAAACACAAGAAAAATAGGTAAAGGTGGATAGAGACAGTGAGTAATTAACAGAGTTTCGCCATAGCTACATCGACCGCTTCCTCTTGGCCTGCAAAAGTGTCAAAGATCAGTAGCACCTCAGCATCCCAATTAAATATCCGTTGCTGTCATGCATCAGTGCATTTGAAATAAACCCCAAATTAGCAGGAGACTTGGTCTTCTGAGTTAAATTAATCAATAGTGGATTATATTCCGTAGTGATATTCTTATACTAACTAGTTTTTTTTTATTTTTTACTTGTTTCTCAGAGGGGAAAAAAGAAGGAAGAAAACCCTTAGTTACAGTATCAGAAAGGTAAATGCAACTTCTGGGTTTTGCTCGAAGTGTTGTGTAATTGCATAAATGGCAATGGTAAAAAAAATTGATTTACTGTTATCAACACAACGTCGGCCAAAAGTTACCTTTCTGAAATCCTTCAGGTTGATGGAGATGAAAGCTGCTAAATGTACAACCAAAAACCCTCGAGCTTTTAATCTGTTGGTAGTAAAAATTTAAAACACACAGCGTCTTATAAATGGATGCTATGTAAGTAACATCTGCATACCTCCAATGCAGCTTCTTCGTCGTGATCCATGGAGATTGTAGCTTCCAGGTGCCTGTGTTAGCAGTCCCATGTCGGTGGAGGTAAAGAAAAGCAATGATTTTAAATAGGATTGCCCCATTCTAATTAATACCGAGGCTTTTTGTAGTAAAATCCTAGACTTGACGGTTTTGACAGGTGGTAAAGTTGGGAACATAATTGGGGATAGTATCGGTGTCGTTAGAGTAGACCTCCCTAGGCCCGTTGATCTAAAAAATTTCAACGTGGTATCAGAGCTCACGTGTGAACCACCACTAAATGGGGGTTACACGTGAGGGATTAGTAGTGGTTGACACGTGGGCTCTGATACCATTCCTACATCCCCTTGCATGAGTGGTTGCGATATGGTTTATTATGATTTGTGGGGTCAGACTCGGAGCTTGTCCTTTGCCTTCTACAGAAAAATATAAAAGTAAAAAGATGACTAAATGCGGTGAAGGTGGTAAAGCTCCATGCTTGACGGATTGGGTAAGTGGTAAAATTGGAGTGGGGCTCCCGGCCGTCGATCTAAACAAATTTGACAGCCTGAAAGGGTATTTTTTTAGGACGGTCTATACTTTCAATTCACACTTTCTCCACAATTTTTTTCTCTCTCTCTAGTGCTAAGTTAAGGTTCTATTTCTACCATTATCTTGTCTCAAATGAAAAACATTTAGTTTTTTAGGTGTACTAGATCCTGTTATAAGTCCATGGCCGGCCCTGATAGGCGCCTCAAAGAATTTATATGTTGGAGTATGATAAATGGAAAGAAAATAATAATTAAAAAAAAAAAAAAAACTGCCTATTGTCAATAGCTTGTGGTTGGTATGTTGGTAAAGGCTCTGTTACTTGTATCTTCCATCTTTTATAGCTCGCCTCGAGCCCTTAAATTCTCATGGCCGGCCTTGTCTAAGTCCCCCACACAAATTAAAAGGTATTGGAGAGCTTGGATCAACATTGCAGTCCCTCAATCAAAATCCAACCCAGACAGCAGGAAAAGGACAGTCAGAGAGAGATCGAAAACCTGATTGATACTTCGATACTTAATAAAATTAAGTTGATGAGCATCATCTTACCAGGAAAATTAGTGAACTAATTAACTTTAATTAATCATTCTTCTTTTGCCTTTTCACGTTTTGTTTGTATTGCTTTGTCTGTTTGATTAGGTATAAAAAGAAAAGGTTTTAAGGTGAAGCCAACGCGCAAATGCCATGAGATTAAAACCCACCATATCAACATTCAAACCTCCTGCATATTTCCTTCATCTGTCTTATGCTTCAAATTTTATTACAAAATGAAAATTTTGCTCATTTCCCTTATGTTCTTGATCGGGACTGTTACTCCAGCCGAAAGCAAGTGCAATGAAGATGACCAGTCGTCGTTGATCCGCTTGAAGCAAAGTCTTAACTTCAGTTCTTCTGCTTCCACCAAGCTTGTTACTTGGAATGCAAGTATCGACTGCTGTTTTTGGGTCGGAGTAAATTGCAGTGCTAATGGCTATGCAGTTGGTCTGGACCTCAGCGAGGAACGGATCCTAAGTGGGATTGACAACTCCAGCAGTCTCTTCGATCTTCAACATCTTCAAAGCCTCAAATTTGCTGATAACGGTTATCACCACTCTCAAATTCCATCTTCTATCGGAAAGCTTGCAAATTTAAGGTATCTAAATCTATCCCAAAATGTCTTTTTGGGGCAAATCCCAATTGAGATTTCGCGCTTGACAAGGTTGATTGTTCTTGATCTTTCTGAAACTTACTTAAAACTTGAGAACCCCAATTTAAGCATGCTGATTCGGAATCTCACCGAGCTTGAAGTATTATATCTTGATTCGGTAAAAATATCAGGAAAAACGAGTGACTGGTGCCAAGTAATATCTTCTTCACTTCCAAAGCTGAGGGTGCTGAGCTTGTCCAACACTGATCTTCTGGTACCTATTGATGACTCTCTTGCCAAGCTTTCATCTCTATCCGTGATTCGATTGGATTCTAATGCCATATCTACTCCGGTTTCATCCTTCTTCGCCAATTTTTCAAACTTGACTTCCTTGAGTCTTCATGGATGTCAGTTGTATGGAACATTTCCCCAAGAAATCTTCCACATATCTAGACTACAGCATATTGACTTGTCCTTCAATCCGCTGCTTCAAGGTTCCTTACCAGAATTTCCGAACAACGGATCTCTTCAAACTCTGGACTTGAGCCGCACAAATTTTTCGGGGTTATTGCCGGACTCTATTGGCAACCTCAAAATGTTGTCCATGATAGATCTCTCATTCTGCAATTTCTATGGATCAATCCCAAAGTCAATAGAAAATCTCAGACACTTGTATGATTTAGACATGTCAGAGAACAAGTTCAGCGGTTCCATTAATTCCACTCATTGGGAAAACCTTGTCGAGTTGATGTTTGTCAGCTTGAGGTACAACCTGCTTGATGGAGGAATTCCATTGTCTATGTTTTCTCTTCCACTGCTGCAAACATTGGTGCTTTGCAACAATAAGTTCTCGCACCATTTCCATGAGTTCTCCAGCGTCTCTTCTTCGAACCAATTAAGCTCCTTGTTTTTGGATTTCAACAATCTCAAAGGGCCAGTACCGATGTTTATTTTTAGTTTCTTCAGTTTCTTTCACTTTCTTCAAACAACTTGGAAGGCTCGTTTCCTCTAAGTGGTCTTCAGAAGCTGAGAAATCTGGTTTTTCTTAATCTTTCATGCACCAGCTTGTTCATTGATCGTACCGGTATCAATTCCTCGTATTCATCCTTGCCTCGATTGGTTACAGTGATTTTAAGTTCTACCAAGCTGAGAACATTTCCTGATTTCTTGAAATATCTACCCAATTTAGGCACCTTGGATCTTGCAGAAAATCAAATTCATGGAGAGATACCAAACTGGATATGGGGGCTCAAATTTCTTCATTATCTAAATATTTCATGCAACTCCCTGGCAAGTTTTAGTCCTTTACCCAATCTCACTTCTGCTCTAAGTGTGCTCGACCTTCACTCTAACCAGCTTCAAGGACAAATCCCAGTTTTCTCAGCACCTACAATGTGGATTTTGGATTACTCCAGAAATAATTTGAGCTCTACCATACCGACTAACATTGGTGAGTTCTTGACGACCACCAAACTCGTCTCACTTTCAAGCAATAACCTCCATGGCATCATTCCGAGATCGTTGTGCAATCTGTCAACTCTTGAGATTCTTGATCTGTCCAATAATTCACTCAGTGGTATGATTCCTCAGTGCTTGACTACAATGAAGACGCTTGCAGTGCTTAATTTTCGGAGAAACAACCTTACAGAGAACATTTCTTACAAATTTGATGAGCATTGCAATTTAGAAACTCTAGACCTCAGTGGAAATCAAATCAAAGGCCTGCTTCCAAAATCTCTAGTCAGCTGCACAAAATTAGTGGTATTAAACCTTGGATACAATCAGATAATGGATACTTTTCCCTGCTATTTGAAGAGCATTTCCACCTTGCGAGTCCTTGTTCTCCGATCCAATAAATTCTACGGAGGCATTGGATGTCCGAGTACCAATGGCACCTGGCCAGTGCTTCAAATCATAGATGTAGCTCACAACAATTTCAATGGCGAACTACCTGGAGGATTGTTGACAACATGGAAAGCTATGAAGGATAACAAAGCTGATGCAAATCACCTTCAGTATGAGAACAGAGCCGGTTACGGTATTTACTATCAGGACTCAGTAACAATTGTGAGCAAAGATTTGACGATGGACCTGGTAAAGATTCTAACTATCTTCACCGCAATCGACTTCTCTGGCAATAAATTCCATGGACAAATACCTGAAGAAATTGGAGAACTCAAATCATTGTATATTCTCAACTTCTCCAACAATGCTTTCACAGGTGAAATTCCATCATCATTGAGTAACTTGGGAAACCTGGAGTCTTTAGATCTCTCAGTGAACAACCTGAGTGGGCAGATTCCACCAGAATTTTCCAAACTCCATTTCCTCGCATTCATGAACCTCTCAACCAATCACTTGGTTGGCAAGATCCCAAGCAGCACTCAGTTTTCAACATTTCCAAAATCTTCCTTCGAAGGTAACACGGATTTATGGGGGCCTCCTTTGACAGCATATGACAGACCACCGATGTCGTCGCCACCAATGTCAAATGGAAGCGATCCGAATTATGGCGGTGAGATTAATTGGGATATTCTGAGTGCTGAAATTGGATATTTTGTCGGCCTTGGATTTGTCATCGGGTCACTGATGTTTTGCGAGGGATGGAGGAACTGGTATTACGAGGCTTTGGAGAACATGTTCTTTAAGATGCTCCCTCATCTGGACAAAAGAAATGGATTCCAGATGTTCTTTTAGATGTTATCTTTTAATTGTTTTTTGTTCTTCACTGTGATTTCATGTTTATCCAGTACTTCAATTCAGTAATTTCAAAAGTTCGTTTCAGTATTTTAGTTTCGTAATTTAGATTTTGTTTCTGCTTTGCACTTTAAATTTTATTTAGATTATTTTAGTTCATAATTGAGTTCTTTATCAAATCAATCCCCACGACCAGTACGTTCAAGTTGATACGATTCATCATACACATCCATATCACCTACCACTCCATCGATAACCTAATCTACTCACCATATCCATCACGTGCGAGTCTCTCGACGCTATCAATTTCTCGCCCATCACAAGAACATTTGAATTCGCCTATCACCTCACAAGACCTGTAACGCGTTTCACAGTCAGGCACGAAGAACCTGACCGCGACGAGTTTCTTCCTCAGTCACAGACAACCGCAAATCACGTTTTACTCGCTCGGCCCCCAGGCCGCGAGTTGGCCCGCCGACAACACGCACATTAGAAAGACCAAGAGATCCCGAAATCCTCAGCTTGTTGGCCGACACCGATTTTGAGATCTTTATGTTCTTGATCATGACTGTTACTTCAGTTGAAAGCAATTGCAATGAAGGCTACCAGTTATCCTTGTTTCACTTGAAGCAAACCCTTACCTTCAATTCTTCTGCTTCCACCAAGCTTATTACTTGGAATGCAAGTATCGACTGCTGTTCTTGATCCGGAGTAACTTGAAGCACTAGTGGCTATGCAGTTGGTCTTGACCTCAGCCGTGGATCCATAATTCATGGGATTCGCAACTCCAGCAGTCAGCTTCGATCTTTAACATCTTCAAAGCCTCAAATTGCTGCCAATGAAGATTTTAAATCTCAAATTCCTTCTGCAACTCATTGACTGCTCACTCATTCAATAGTCTATATGATCAATCCCTCTGCAACTTATGCCAAGGGAAAATCCCTAACAAATTTCTCCAACACCAAAGATTCATCTTTTTGCAACCGGCAGACAGCAGGCACCATATAATATTTTCAGTACCAAAGTCCTGCGTCAGCTTTCCGGCCACCTTGTAGTGGTCCAGCTCAAGATTCCTCGACACCAAATGAGGATGTTGCGCAAGCGATCGGATTATGTCATCATGCTTTGTAGAAGTAGTGGTCACGAGAACAAAAGAAGGTGGGTAAGCAACCAAAAAGACTTTCATGTAATGGGAGCTACTGTAGAGACATGTAATGTCAGTCTCGCATAAACAATGATTTCAATGCACGACTAATGCATACACCCGGGATTCGCCGAAGTGGCATCTCAGTTGTTGGTAAGAGAATGTAATACGTACGCTTCAACTCAAAAGGATAGTATTTTCCTTTGTAGTATTAAAAAGTCTTAAATTCGACTTACATGAATAATAAACTTGATGCATAACTATTATAATTCAGTTATTGTTTGGCCTACGGAAAATTATTACACCTTAAACAGAATATCATTGTGTCAAACAAAATGTTAGACGAACTTTATAAAAGGCAAGCTATGAGCAAACAATTGGGCCTTACATATGTAGTTACCCTTGTTTGGGTTTTATTGTTTTGCATGTCCTGGTATGAACTATGAAGGTTCGTGATCATGAGTCCTGCTCTCTTAAGGTATTCATTTCAACGACATGTGAGGATCAAATGTCCACTAACTACAATATTATATTAGTTTATATCTAAATGTTTAAAAATTTTGACAACTTAATAAAGCAAAATAAGTTTTCTAAAGGTTTATAGATTTTAAGTTGGTGTTGTTTTATTAAGTTGTCAAATATAATAAGTCTTTGGTTCTAAACTAATATAATCTTACGGTTAGCATTTCATCCTCACATTCCTCATTTAAAGACCTTAGGAGATTAAGACTCTCATAATATAGCCCTACTCCAATATCGTTGGCCCAAAATATCATGAATGTGGAAGTGGAACCAGAACTAACATGCTAAATAAAAATGAGGATCATCTTGGGATCCTCTTTGTGAGGATTCCGGCGATCCTCCAATCACATTCGTTCATCGTATATTGTGCAGTCAAAATTATTATAATTTTTTTTATTTAAAATTAAATATAAACAGTACCTGACGAAAATTGGTCACATGATATACAATGAACAGACGTGATTGGAAAGGAAGATTATTACATAAGCTTTATTAAATTTAGATTTTAAAAGATTTAATGGAGTTATAAATTTGAGTCAATTTTCACCAAATCTCAAGGGAAGAAGGTGAAGAAGATACCTTTCAAATAATGGAAATATTTTTATTCACCATTCTTAAGTGATGAATAATGATGTTGCTCACCACTTTATTTATCACCGTTAGATAAATTTAAATTTTGAAATATGTGTAATAGATAAACACAGATCTCAAAACATAAACTAATCTAACGGCATCATGTAAATGTGATGAACAAAAATGTCCGCTTCCAAAATTTACCAAAATTCATAACACATAATTATCTTTTCAAATAAAATTTGAGTAGAGTATTTCTGAATTTTTAAAACCCTTTAAATTTGAATTGAATTCACCTGAATTTCTGTAAATTTCAATAAAGTCCAAAATAAAAATTCAAGCAAAACACAGCCAATTTTTTACATACCACAATAAAATCCAAAATAAGAATTTGAGCTAGATAACGAGCGAGCGGTTGTAATCCCTGCAAAGTGAGTCTATCATAAAAACCTCCGGAAGAAAAAATGTAAAAAAACATGTGACGCCGATGACGACATTCAACATCGGCAAGGAAAAGAGCCCAAATGACAAATCATTTTCTACTATTCTATATACAGCAACTCACTACGTTTTCAATCACGTTATGACTTCTTTTAAATCATTTTCTAATATTCTATATACGGCAACTCACTACGTTTTCAATCACGTTACGGCTTCTTTTTCCGTTTAAAGTAGAAATCTCAATTTATTAAGGAAATTGTTATTGGCACTTTAAAAATCTCATTTTACACTCTCATAAGTATATTTTTCTTTCTTATTATAGAAAGTTTGGGATGTAGAATGAGATTTTTGGAGTCCAGAATGAGATTTTTGGAATGCTAATAACAATTCCCTTTATTAAAAGAGTAAATTGTAGATATAGTCATTTAACTTTAACTCAATTGGAGTAATAGTTCCTCAACTAAAAATTCATCATCATTGGTCCATCAACTCATCAAAATGTGCACCTATGATCCCTCAACTAAAAATTCATTACCATTGGTCCCTCAACTTTAATTCAACTGGAGAAATGGTCTCATAACTTTAACCCAATTGTAGCAATGGTTCTTCCAACATAATTCATTTTGACAAAAATTTTGACGCAGTTGACGAAAAGGACCATAATTACATACTTTGATGAGTTGAGGGATCCTAATTATATAAATAGTTATTTCAACATAACTTATTTTAACAAAATTTTGACGAAATTGATGAAAATAACTATAACTATACATTTTGATAAATTATGAAACTATTGCTCAAATTTGATTAAAATCGAAGGAGCAATTTACTCTTATTAAAATGTGGGGAAAATGTCGACACTCTCGCGCTCTTAGTTTGGCAAAAAGTCGCAACCCCAGCCCCTTCACCTTCCCACGCTTCCTCCCTTTCGTAGAAAAATGTCGACACCATTTCTCCATCAACTCTCTCTTCTTCTTCTCTCTCTCTCTCTCTACACTCTTCTCTCCCAACACACGCCATGACTGAACTCGTGTCCTCCGCCTGATCAAAAGAAATCAACCCAATCGGGATTCGTGTTCGTCGATCAGATCATCAATTTTCACAAGATTCCATCTTTTATAAACCCACGTACTATAATTCCCATGTCGTTCGTTGAGGTTCGCTCTCTCTCTCTCTCTCTCTCTCGATTTCCCGATTTCTCTGCAATTCTCTGACTGAAACGCTGCGTTTTCTGTGCAGGATCTTTGGCCGTTGCTCTGCCCTCCAGGCTTCCTAGAAAAATCTCGGCTTTTCAAAGGTAATACTCATTAATGTCATCTCCCACTCTGAAAATCCGAATTGGGATTTCTGCAGTCGAATTAAAAGTTAAGATTAAAACCAAATTAGCTAATTGAAGAACAAGAACAAGTCTCGATTTTCTGAAATCTGCTTTGTTTTTTGCGGTTCTGTTTTTCATTTGGGCGCTCAAATCAGAGTCCCTTTTGCAGTCCATGGCCAACACGAGCTGCGGGAGCGCGGAGCTCGAGGCTTGCCGCGACGAGTCGGCGGCGCTCGTCCTCAAGCTAATCGCCGTCGCTTCGATTCTCGTGACCGGAGTCGTCGGAGTCGCAATTCCCCTCGTCTGTAAGAACCGCAGCTTTCTCCGCACCGACGGTAGCCTCTTCGTCGCCGCCAAGGCCTTCGCCGCTGGGGTAATTCTTGCCACCGGGTTTGTCCACATGCTCCCGGACGGGTCGGCCGCCCTGAACGACCCGTGCCTGCCCGAATACCCCTGGACCAAGTTCCCCTTCTCGGGATTTTTCGCCATGATGGCCTCGCTTGCCACGTTGCTCGTTGACTTTGTTGGGACCCAGTATTACGAGAGGAAACAGGGGAAGACTCGCCCCGCCGAGGACCAGGTGCGGGTTGGGTCGGATGACCCGGAGATTGAGGCGGGTCCGGGTCCGGGTCCCGAACAGCCGGCGAAGGAGTGGAATGGGAAGGTGTTTGGGGAAGAGGAAGGCGGTGGGATGCACATTGTTGGGATGCATGCGCACGCGGCGCACCACAGACACAGCCACGCGCACGGCCAGGCCGGATGTGACGGGCACGTGGCGAGGGAATCCGAACAGGAACACGGGCACGATTCGCACGGGCACGGGCATTCTCACGGGTTCGGGGATGATGACGAGGACGGTGGTGTCCGGCACGTGGTCGTTTCTCAGGTACTTTTATTTCGGTTTTATTTTTATTTATTTTACCGCCTTACTTTTTGTTGTTTGCGTGTTAATTATTGCTCTTTAATTTAGGGTCCATAGAGTTATAGAGTGATTTTTTAATGTGATCGGTATACGGGATGTACATCACGTGTCATTATTCAAATTATGGGATATGTGTATTAAAATTTTAATAAATTAAAACATAAAATTTCTCACCATTTCTATTAAATAAGTGATGTACCAATTGTGTTCCCGTCACAATTAAAATTTTCTCAAAGTTATGCTGGTCTACTTCGTAGGTAAAAATTATGCGTCATTCTGCCACGTGTCGTGACAAAATCAATCTAAGTGAAGTGAACACTGAGAAAAAGTAAGCGAAATAAAAATGAACGGAATTTCGAATTTAAAAGTTAATCCCATTAAGTTGATTGAGCATGTTAAACTTTTTCGTGCCGATGCCAGCCATTTGGAAGGGTGTGTGGGCAGTCGAGAACTTGAGATTGGAATGTTCATGAGCTGAGCTAGACTGGGAAATAGTATAACTTATATTTATCTGAAATGTTGGGTCGTCGTAGTATTTTGGAGTACAAGTTATTGAAATTTCACCTTGTTTAGTAAATGTTAGAATCAGTAGCGCTCGTTGGCTCATCTAGACATTCGTGCTTGCGGGTGGGTGGTTGTTATTGCGGCGTTTAATATATTGTTTCTTGTGCAGATTTTGGAACTTGGGATTGTATCACATTCAGTGATCATTGGCCTATCACTGGGAGTTTCACAGAGCCCATGCACCATAAGACCCTTGGTTGCAGCATTGTCATTCCATCAGTTCTTTGAAGGTTTTGCACTTGGAGGCTGCATATCTCAAGCACAATTCAAGACCCTATCAACAACCCTAATGGCCTGTTTTTTCGCCATCACAACCCCGCTTGGGATAGGCGTTGGGACCGCCATTTCCTCGTTCTACAACCCGTACAGTGCAAGAGCTTTGGTCACCGAGGGCATCTTGGATTCCATGTCGGCCGGAATTCTAGTGTACATGGCGTTGGTTGACCTAATTGCTGCTGATTTTTTGAGTAAGAGGATGAGCTGCAATTTCAGGCTCCAAGTTGTATCTTATTGCTGTCTCTTCGTTGGAGCTGGATTGATGTCATTACTTGCAATTTGGGCTTAATTTTCTTATGTGTTTTTGGGAGGTTAATGTTTTAGTATTCCAAGTGAAATTGAAATTCTTTCCACATGTTTTCTGTGATAGGGAAGAGTTAGTTGTAGTCATTCAGAATGCGATGGCTCAAATATAATATAAAATCTCCATTACTTTTGTCAACAAAGACTAAACCTTATCCTAGTAGGAGGATTCGGCTGTATGAATTTTAGAACGCTACTACGTTGGATTTTGTGTCAAGTCATTTTAAACGATCTTCAATTGTGGTCACTCTTACCTTACTTTATATCTTTGTTTTTAATCATAATTTTTCACGTACACATCTAACAAAGCACCTCATTTGCGTTACATTTATTTTACATGTTGGTTAAACAAAGTGTCAGTATTCTCAACTCTGCCACACTCATAACAATGAAACAAAAGAAGTGTCTCTAATGCAATTAAAATTTGATTCTTTTTAATTAACTTTCAGTCCAAACTATGTGTCACGATCACTAATCTTGTGATTCTTAAAACAATTTAACTTATCTTGTTTTTAATTAATTAACTTTAGAGAATTGGCTAAGATGAATTTACAAATCTCAATTGGTAGAACTGATGAAACCAAGTATTCACAACATATTGATCAAAATACTAAAATGAAATCATTTTGCAGCAATTAAAATTTGTGTATTTATCATTCTAGGCGGTTTTCAGTTAACATTTCATGTGATATGTCAAACAATTAACATGTCGATATTGATTGTCATTGTTATATCATCAATAATATTATTATAAACTCTGCTTATGTTAAAAAACGACATGCATAGAGAATTCATGTCAATAATATATGATATTGATACATTATCAACAAAAAACGGACGTATTGGACAAAAAACTCCTGAAAAGATGGAAATCCAATTAGAGTTGGTAATGGAGAACCAAAACTGATAGAAAGAAAAGTAAATGAAAAACCCAAAAAAGAAAGAAATCAAAGTGAAACTGAAAGGAACTAAAACCCAAGTTGAATGGTAACTTCCAACCTCTCAAATCTTCAGCAGCCCTGAGATCTAGGACACTTCACACTGCACACTGTGGGAAGTGACAAAAATGCCACTCTTTTTCCACCGCCAATCTTCTCTCCCCACCGCCACCGCCACCGCCACCTCGCCCTCCTACTCCTCCAAGCTCCTCAAGCCCCTAAAGCCCCATCCTGCCACTGTCCCCACCCGCACTCCCCTGCCCATTATCGTCTTTTCACTCGTCTCCCTCTTCATCGGCCTCGCCGGAACCATCTTCACCGTCGCCGCCTTCCGCCGCCCGACCCCCATTCCCATTTTCCGATGCGGCAAATCGGACGACACATTCCGGGGGTTCTACTCTCTGTCGAAGTCTCGGCAGGTCGGTGATAAAATTGGTGGCTTGGTTGATCGGCCCAAGCTTCTTGGGTTCGTCGGAATTCAGACCTGGTTCGGCTCGGCCGATCGCCGTGCAGCGTTGCGGAACACTTGGTTTCCTTCCGACCCAGCTGGCCTTTTGAGGTAAATTTCAGCTTTTTGCAGTCAATCTGATGTTGGTTTTTATCAAATTTTGTTAAGTTACTAAATTTATAGTTTATGTGCACCTGCTTGATATCACTTCTGGGTTTTGTATGATCAATTACTTAGCATTGATTTTGATTAGCTTAACTAAGATTAAGATCGACAATCTGGGTCTGATTGAATGTCCTTTAGCTCCTTATATTGGGAGAGTAAATTTGTAACATTATCTTGTAGGTTGGAACAAGCTACTAGTTTAGCATTTAGGTTCGTTATCGGGCGGTCGAAGGATGCAAAGAAGATGGCGGAGCTTCAGAAAGAGATCGATAAGAACAGAGACTTTTTGGTTATTGATATCAATGAAGAATATTTAAACCTTCCGTGGAAAACGTAAGAGTCATCAGTTTTTATTTAAGTTTTTGTCATGTCGATGATGGATTTGTGTTCTTGGCAGTTCATGTCATATTGCTTAATCACGCTGTTTCGCAGGTTGGCATTTTTCAAAGCAGCATTTCAACTTTTCGAAGCAGATTACTACGTCAAAGCCAATGATGACATTTATTTGCGTCCAGGTATATATTATAGTGCCAGGCTATATGCTGTCATGAAGCCGTGAAAATGAGTACATTGGAGTTTACTGATGCTTCCGTAATTTTTCAGATCGACTAGCAACGCTTCTAGCCAAGGAACGAACACATCCACAAACCTACATTGGATGCATGAAGAAAGGACCAGTAGTCACTGACCCTAAAATGAAATGGTTTGTTGGTTTTCAACTTGTTGTCCCAGATTGTTTACCTTTGTGCTCGGTTAACATTTTTTGTAATAATCTGTCCGTTTGTAATTCATCAACGGTCTGTTTATTGTTCAGGTATGAGAAATCAGGACATCTAATTGGGAATGAATACTTTCAGCATGCTTTTGGTCCTATTTATGTTCTGTCTGCAGAGGTGGTAGCTTCATTAGCAGTCGCTAGAAATAACAGGTCAATCACCTGTTTTTTATTCGTTTTTCTTTATGTTAGCCATTGTTTCTTTCAATTGTCAGCTTTTGCCTCGTTTCAATAAGTTATATGTTGAATTTGCTTAGGCTTTAGTTTTAGCTTCTCATTTCGTATGGACGTCCCTTTGTTTGATAGATGTATTTCCTGGCTTTCAGTTTGAGAATGTTTAGCAATGAGGACGTCACGATTGGATCATGGATGCTTGCTATGAATGTCAATCATGAGGATAATCGGGCATTATGTGACCCTCGTTGCACGCTCACATCCATTGCAGTGTGGGACATCCCAAAATGTTCAGGTACTTTATCCAACAGATCACATTGTTAGTCACAAATATTTAAAGAAAATTCCTAGTTATACTGGAAATTAAATTTGAGAGACCAATGGTTGATTTCTGGTATTATCATCTACATAGACGGAGGCTTTTCTTACCTTTAATAAGAAAACTGGTGCAATAATTCTTCTTATGCTAAATTCGATAAGACCATATTCTTACGTTCAAAGAATAAAACGTTTTCAAGTTGACTGAGGATGACCTTTCCGTCGAGTACTCTTTAAACAGGATTGTTGGCCAGTATTTCCCTTTGAAACAAAATTTACCTAGATCTCTTGTTCTGGCTGGCGTTTGTGATAAGTAATACCAGAACTCCAGTCTTGGACATAGCAAATGAAAAGCACTAAATGTCTTGTTTACCAAAGAATTTGATTGTTAAAGAAATAACGTCTCTGATAGTTTTGAACAGACAACATGGCTTCTTCTACGTGTACTGTGTTGGCCTTAGTCCGAAATAGAAATGTTTTGAAAAGGGTGTTTATCCGTCAGATGCAGTGATGTGAGAAAAATCTTGAAAACTTGTAGGTTTGTGCAACCCAGCTATTAGGCTGAGAGAGCTTCATGCGATGAGAATGTGCTCCAAAAGTCCGACGCTGCCTCCTGATGACAGATAATGAACTACGGCATACAATGCCCTCCAACGACAGTAATAGAGGAAGGTCAGTTGGCTTCATTGACAGTACCTTGTTTCTTAAAAGATAAAATGAAGTCTCCTGCAGCCAGCTACGGAGAACTTGAGAGAGTATTTTATCCATTTATCGGCACTTCTTGTACAAGTGATGTATTATAAACAGAGCATTTTTCTACGATCCACTCCGTCTGAGGGAAATCGAAGTGCAATCTTCGATTTCACTGCATATGTACAATACCAGTCATACAAGAAATACATGAATATACCAGTGTGTTTGTGCAGAAGACATGGATTTGAAGACTATATGTTGGTGTTGTAATTGTCCTGTGACTGTCCAGTTTCTGTTTTATGACATACAGAAATTGTCACTATTGATTTTGTCACGGAAACTCGAAATGATATCATTTTCTCCCAAAGACCAAATACTCTAGCTATGACATGAGAATTGCTAGGAACAGTCGCTCGCATGATTAATTTGGTTGTTTTTGCTTTGTGAGTTTCACAACTATGAATGCCTGGATCACTCCACCCTTACCGACGCATTTTTGTTTCACAAGCAATTTGGACAACAGCTGGTACAATAATACAACATATACGAGTCCATTTGCCTTTAAATTAGAAATCTACTGCCAGGCTTAATTAAGAAAGACATTGAATTTTTCAACCATGCCCTTCAAAAAAGAGAAAAATTTAATTTCAGTACAACAGCTTGACTAACTAGATGGTCACTTCCAAAGGTAACGTATCTCTACATTTGGTTACCATCCAATCCTACGTAAATACAATCTCAAATGCACATTATCCCACTCTTTGTGAGAATGACTTGATCAACTGATTGTCCTACTTAAGTTTTTCTTAAATAAAATTTTGGAGAAGTCATGATGTTTTAACCGTTAAATTTTTGTTTTAAAATGCGAAAATCAAGACCTAACGGTTAATACAACCACAGTACTCGGAGCACCAAATAATTTTTGTTATCCGAGTTTCACCACCACAGTTTAAAGTCGTACAACTACCCCAAATACGGACCTTCGGATCCGCTTACATAAAAAGGTCAAAGGAAATGTCAACGGTCGTACACAAGACCAGCGATATAGATCAGCCGCACAGAATCACGAGCCCTTCCCAAATCTGGCTACCGAGGACAGTACTTTTGTCTGTACGTACGTCAGCTCCGATTCCTCAGTTTCAGTTTCAACTTCACCACGACATAAAATACGTCCACGTCATCACCGCAGGTCCACGTCTCCTACGTGGCACAGCCCCTGCCAGCGTGTCACGTGCTTTTCTCCCCCATTTATAATCCATTTGTCCTCGCTTTTTCACACACAACACACACACTCACTCCGCTCTCTCCTCTGTTTTACTCTTATCAGAGTCCGACCGCATGGAAGCAGCTGCCCCAGAGTTTCCTCCGCCGGAGTCTTCCGTCTCCGTCTACATCGCCGGAAAGTTTCCGGAGCTCAGTGACGAGCTCTTGCCGGAGATTCCTATCAAAGAAGAGTTGATTGAGGAGGTCATGCAAGAGCTCTACAAGGAGATAACGACCGCCAACGCCCCCGCCGCTACCACCACCACTACAGCTACTTCTGATTGCACTAAGCCGTCTTCACCGGCGGCGACATTTCCGACGCCGTCGCTGGTGCTCGGGAATGGGAAGAGCGAGAGCTGCGGGGCGTCGGTTTCTGACTCCGCATCAACGGTGATGGTTGGAGTGGAGTTCGTGGGGCCAGCCGGAAAAAAAGGTGGATCGCCGGAGAATGGGGCGTGGAGGAGTGAATGCGGGAGGGGTACTCATGGGTTGGTGGTTGGGAAGGGAGGAATGGACGGCTGTGATCATGCAGGGGAGGTTGATGATGAATGGCTGGAGAGAGTGCTGATGAGCACGTGGGGCCCGGTAGACCTTGATCCATGGTTCTGATGCTCAGCTGGATGTTTTGTTGTTGTAGAAAATGTCCGTACACATCAAATCAATAGTTTAAATAGTGAGGTTTTATTAAGAGTAGAAAGGAAGCTTCCGGACTCAAAAATGGTCATATGCTACTAATATTTACGTGTGTAAGTTAGGTCAGTTAATGAAAGTATTTACGTTTTTATTTGTGTTCAAAATTTTGAATTATTAATCGTAAATTAGAGTTGATAAACAAAAAAGGTAAATCTTATTAGATATTAATTTCTCTTCTCTTCTTTCCTTTTCTTTCTTTTGTTTTCTTTGCTTCTTTTCTTTTTTCTTTTCTTTTTCTTTTGGTAATAGTCTCTTCTAGTACTCCGGAAATGGAGAGTTCATCATTTTTTTTTTGAATTATTATTTTTTTTGAATTTATGCTTTATTATCCACCAATTAAGCAAACACTTAAACATTATTATGGTTTGTTTGTCATTTTGCTTTTATGGCCTTAGGAAATTGAAAATTTTATTGTCATTTGAAAGAAGAATCCATCTTTATCCCTTGACATAGCATTCAGTGCAATTTTCTTAAGAGAAAGACTTACATGGAACGAATTCATCGTCACTTAACATTTTGATCTAATAATGCATTGTCATGTGTAACTTTTTCTTCACATATCATTATATTATTAGATCGAGATGCCTCATCAATGAACCTGTTCCATATAAATTGTTTTCCTTCCTTAAGAAATTTCAACAATGATACCTATTTCCATCCTTTTTCTTTTAACTTATTTACTTTTAAAACAAAATATGAGTGGATGTGGAAGGGAAACTGCGAGAATCATTTCTTATTCTAAGGGAGATAGCAATTGAGTACCAAAATTAGATTGTTATGCCGCGAAGGAAAAATGTCATTTTAACTAGGGAAAACTAACGAAAAGTTCAAAAAAACTTTCCTTTTAATGAAAAATCATTTTTAAAGGTATAATGAATAGTACTAGGAAAGGAAAATGTATAAATGTGGTTTTTCCGTTAAAAGTGAACAGTACCGGGAGTATTTTGTTAAACCTCCATTTTAACTAAGGTAACAACCCACTTAGCAAACTAAAAAAGTAGCAACTGACTTTGTAATATACAAGACTAGTAACTACTTTTTTAAGTTAGCAAATTGAGCTCTGCAATATATTTTATTGGAAAGTGTTGTTTAATAAAAGATTTGAAAATAAAATTTAGGCCCCACAAGATAAGATAAACCTAAGATATTAATATTCTACAGTGAAAAGTAAAATCTGAAGAATTGGTTGAAAAGTGAGTTGGAGTAATAATGACATGTAGAACAACTTTTTTAGATCATATTTACAAATTATGTGAAGTCTCATCAATAAGAGATAAATACTTTAATTAGTATTTGATTAGTAATTCAATCATCAATAACCACGTCATATGGTTTACAAAATACTGTTTCATAGAGGGTCTCCCTAACATTACCTAAATTGAAATGGCAAAGTTTTAAAATAGCATAAAATTGCCAAATAAATTAACAAATAACACTTTTAAGAAAAATTTTTGCTGACTCCTTTCGAGATGCTAAGCAAAGATGTGCGAGTCTACCATCTCTATTATTTGACTGACAAAATAAATAGATGAGTTACATTTGCCTGTTTTGCAGCAATGGGAAAATTAAATCGGATGAGCTAGCTTAGCTCGGCCAATTGCCAAACATGCATGTATGTAAAAGCAAACTTGAAAACAACTTCCTCTGATAAGGCCAGTTTCCGAACAAATCCATCTACTTGTCTCTTGTGCAAAATGTTGTACATGCCTACATGTGTGCTTTTTTGTTGATTGGAAGAAGCTAAGAAAATCTCAAATGTAATCGGTTGTGAATGCGACAGAAGCACTTTTATCATCTGATCAAGGTGCTTTCCATGGGAAGCATTTTTCTCAAAAAATCTGAAAAAGTGATTAAGCTCTAAGGTACTTCACTTTTCTAATAAGAATGTTGGTTGTTATGCTTTTATTAAGGGCTTGTGACTGCCGTTGAAGTGGCCAAAAGTGATTTCAGACTATGAAAAACACATTTGAGTGTATTTGGTATAAAAGTTCAAAGTATTTCTGGTCGTATAAGTATTCTTTCGTAAAGTATTTTCAAGTGCTTTTTGAAGAAGCATTAAATTTTGATAAAAATTTCAACATATTTATAGAACAACTTCTAGCAAAAGGGTTTAGGACCAAAAATACTTCATGTAGAAGTGACTCAAATGAGCCCGTCTATAACCAAAGTGTTTTCTATAAAAACATTTTCAAGCAGTCCCTAATAAAGTAGAACTATTAATTTAAGCTCTTATTACTCTCTAGTGAATTTGGATCTTCTCTAGACTTTACTGTCCAGAGCTTAAGGGTCAGGAAATTTGGGGTCTTAGTGTGTGTGAAAGATAAATCGGAGTTCTTAGTTTGTGTGAGGTAGGTAAGCAAAATGAGTTAATGAGAACTATTAGATTCAATCTGAGTGGTCTGAATTGCCTGTTCCTTAATCTCCTGACAGTGAAATCCGAAGTGGATATCTGTCCCTCTGCAGTAGCTAGCATATGGTGGCATAATTGGCATCTTGAATTCAAGTTTCACAGACTCACAGTACGAAGTACATGTGACATTGCTTTGGTACATATATGTAGAGGTTGACCCACTGTCCTATATAGCATGCCAAACAGGCCTGGACGCATTCACCTAAATTGCTGCAAGAGATGTGGCCACAACATAAATGGAAAGTTGCATGCTTTACAAATCCAACACCTGTTTTCTGCACCATCAAAATTGAATCCCATTGCAATGAAAAGTAGTAGTAATTGTGGCTTTGCTTTTCTTCGGCTTTTGGCCTTGCAGTCTTTAAACGATAGAATCTTTGCTATATGTGTCACTTATCCTTATCAGTCTCTCTCTACCTAGCTAACCTAGCTTTGAGTGCTCTTCAAGTGCTGGACCGCCCTCGAGAATGACTTTTGCTGTGACGCTATTTCAAATCAATTCAAGCATAATGTAATAAAGTTAAAACGTATGATAGTGTCTTAAGTGTGTCTTGTCTTCACATATGGATGAGATATTAGTAATCCATCTTCAAATTAAGGAGGAAAAAAGAAGGTGTAATCGATCATAGTAAAACGCAACTGAGCAGATCAACAAGTTTCAAATTGAAGTAACATAAAACCTGTTAGTCTAAAAGACTTGTCGAGAACAACAAAATGTCTACAAACCGCCTAATTGACACCAAGGAGAAAAACCTCATTTGCTTCGGGATCCCATTGTAACAACAAAGATTGTGCTAAACTCCGATCACGAAGTTTTTCTACTTTCCTCCAAGTTCGAATTTCTCTCTCTATATTTAAAAGCACAAAATGTTTTACTGGCAAAACCATTAATTACCTAGTTTTATTTTCTTCAATTTTATAACATGTCCTCCATTTTCTAGCCAAGTATTGGAGAAGAACTTGCATGAAATATG